GTGGGGACCTGGCAGTGCTGGGTCACAAGTGGACTCAAAGATCTGAAAGGTCTCTTCCAATGTGACCAATCCTGTGATTTTATGATGTTTGAATCTTCATAGAAATCAAGGTCTGTGAGATTGCCACAGTACAGATGTGATGAATGTAGTTTGAGCCACAGAGGAGCAGACTTAGCAGTCAGGCCTAGAGACAACCATGACTTGTAAGCCTGGGTGAACCTACGAAGCTTCTTCCTCCTTGATCTACACCCACTGCTCTCCTCGGAGCCGTGTGCTGGCTGCTGGGCACACTGTAGATGACATCCCCCTGCTTGCTCTCCCTCCCAGGTTCCTCAGCAGCCTCCGCTCCCGCCTCAAGCTGCTGCACCCCAGCCCCAACTGCACCCTGCGGGAGGAGAGCATCGTCCACGTCCACTTCAAGGAGGAGATTGGCATCGCCGAGCTGATCCCCCTCGTCACCACCTACATCATCCTCTTCGCCTACATCTACTTCTCCACACGTAGGTTTGTGGGGTGGGGAGCCCCGAGGGGAGAGTGAGCTCAGAAACCACCCATACCTAGCTGGGAGGGACCCGTGGTGCAGTGCCCCTTCCAGCCACAGCTAAGAGAGCGTGGTGTTGCTCCTTGTGAGGGCTTCTGGGGTGTTTTCAGTCACAGGCAGCTTAAACACCACAGTAAGGACACGTTTTCTGGGTAGAGAGACTGTTTGTGAAACACATCAAAGATGAGACCCTGGAATGGGTTGCCCAGGGAGGTGGTTGAGGCCCCATCCCTGGGGGTCTTTAAGGCCAGGCTGGAGGAGGCTCTGGGCAGCCTGATCTAGTGGGAGGTGTCCCTGCTCATGGCAGAGGGGTTGGAACTGGGGGATCCTTGTGGTCCCTTCCAACCCTGACAGATTCTGATCTGTTTTAGCAGAGGACTTTGGAGCCCTGGTGGCTCAGTGGTTGGACTTGATGATCTTGGAGGTCCCTTCCAACCTAAAGGATTCTAGGATCTTCTGAGCTGGTGGGTTTAGACCTGATCAGCCACATTTCTGAGCTGCTGGTTTTAGACCTTACCCAGTCCCATTTAAATCCCTTTTCCACACCCCAGTGGTGCTGCACTGGAACTAGTGTGGGCTACAAGCCACACATTGCCCTCCATCCCCCTCCCAGTTACAGAGCCCCTGGCCTACTGGGAGGCTCCGGGAGCCGCGTTCCGCACACGGAGCCCGCCCGTGTGAGTGGCAGGGTCTGGGGGTGGCTGCTGGAGTGAGGGGGTGAGGCTCCCTGCCAGGAGCAGGCCGTGCCCTGCTGCCTGGTGCCCCAGTGCCTCTCTCTGTCTTGCAGGGAAGATCGACATGGTGAAGTCCAAGTGGGGCCTGGCGCTGGCGGCCGTGGTGACGGTGCTCAGCTCCCTGCTCATGTCCGTGGGGCTCTGCACCCTCTTCGGCCTGACACCGACCCTGAACGGAGGGTACGTCTCCAGCACCAGACCCCTTCCTCAAGAGGGAGGTGAAGTCATTTGAAAACGGCTTTTAAATGCCCGATCTGTAAGCTCTAGTATTTCTCAGAGAAGCTGATGTGATGTTTTGCCCACTGCTGGGTGACTTTGCCATCCGCTGCTCTCCTGGGGTGAGGGCTCACGTGTTGTCTCTGCTGGCCAGCAAACAGACCTGGCTGGGCCCAGTCCTCCTGGAGATGTCTTACTGCTCAGCAGTTGGCTCTTGCTGAGGGAGGCAGAAGGAGCTGTTGGGACAACATCTCACTCACAGCTTGATTTCCTCGCAGCAGAGCAGGCTCTCACATGACTTCTCCCTGCAGTCATTTGTTGTCAGATCCTAAAGGGCTTGTTACCTTTTCTGTGGTTGATGCTTTACTTGGAAAAATCTTTCAAAGCTACAGAAGTGACCTGTGGTGGTTGTGCCCGGGAGGCCTCCAGGGTGAGCTTGCACCCACTGCTGATGGTTGTCAGCTCTTCTTTCAGCGGGGGCTCCTGTGTGTCTGAGAGCTGGTATTGGGGACATTTGGTGTGGTTGCTGCCATGTGTTAGATCTGTGCCAAGCTGGAGACGCCTGGGAAAGCTCTTACTGGCACCTCACCCACCCGGGTTCTACCCACGGCTCATTGCTCAGGAGTTAAAGCTCAGTTCAGAACCTTTTACTGCCCTGGGGGCATTCAGAAGTGTGGCCAGAGTCCAGCAGAGGCTGTGGAGCTGCTGAGGGGCTGGAGCATCTCTGTGCCAGGACAGGCTGAGAGCCCTGGGGCTGCTGAGCTGGAGAGGAGAAGCCTCAGAGGGGATCTGAGCAGTGCTGAGCAAGAGCTCAAGGGCCCCGGGGGGCAAGAGGCTGGGGCCAGACTCTGCTCAGTGGTGCCCAGGGACAGGACAAGGGGCCCAAACTGGAACCCAGGAGGTGCCACCTGAGCAGGAGGAGAAACTTGTTTGGGGTGAGGGTGCAGAGCCTGGAGCAGCTGCCCAGAGAGGCTGTGGAGTCTCCTGCTCTGGAGAGATCCCAAACCCTCCTGGCTGTGACCCTGGGCACCCTGCTGGGGGTGAGCTGCTGGAGCAGGGGGTTGGACCAGGTGATCTCCAGAGGTCCCTTCCAGCCCCACCACGCTGGGATTCTGGGATTCTATGTGATTCTGTGATTACCACATCCCTTTCTGAAGCAGTTAAGGAAATGTCCATCATTTTTCTTCCCATCTCCTCGTAGCTAAACACTGCAGGAGCAATGAGAAATCTGACCCATGTAGGAGACTCCCCAGTGCTGGTGATGGTTCACCACAAACCAGACCTAGATGGAGGAGTTCCTCTCCTGGAAGCCTGGAAGAGCCATGAGTAATTGACTTCAGAAAACTAAATATTTTTTGTTTCTGGTTTTACTGCTGAGGAACCTTAATTATGAATTGGGACCACATCACTCTGTGACCTGTCCAAATAAAACAGGATCCACTGGGAGTTTATAATTGTAATGGAAGAAAAAAGACAATATTTGGGTGAAGACACATGGGAGGAATCCAAGGGAAGAGTTTTGGTCAGTGCAGTGACCAGGGCCTTTGCATCACCCTTGCTGTTGTCACACAGAAGGGCTAAACCCATCTAGTTCTTCCTCCTGCAGCACAGAAAGAGTTAATTCAGCCCTTACTGCTAAAAATAGCTTTCCAGCAGCATCTCTTCATTCCCCAGTGCCTGCCAGAGCATTTTCCCTGGGGTTACCTGATTCCCCACTGGGAACAGAGTGTTCTTGGTGTGTCACACACCAGTGGGAACATTCTGGGGCTTGCCCAGTGCAGGGTGCAGAGTCTCCTTAAACTTTGATCTGACTCTTCACCTTTTTGATCCATTCTGTTCACAGAGAAGCCTTCCAGAGGTGGGTGTGTTTGGGTTTAATGGTACCTGCATTTATGATAAGCCTTTTACCCTCACTGTTTTTTGTAAGATAGTAAAATAAGGCTGAGAGATAAGTGGTTGGTAATGATTAAGGTCCAGTAGAAAGCAATCAGCTCTTTTAATGAAGTGAAATGATTATAGGTGAGGTGGGTGTTGGGCTGATCTCACAGAAAAGAAACCTAAGTGGAAATAGGTGACAGGATCAGGGCAGGATTTAAGAAAGAATCAACAGTGAGGTTGAGGAGAGTGCCTGGAGTTCACTGGGAGTAGGATTCCTGTGTGCTGGTGGGCTGGGAGAGTCCCTGGCTGGGTCCAGAGCACAAACCACCACCCCACAAGTCAGCATCTTGGCTGGGATGGAGGGATCACAGTCTGAAATGATGAATGACTTCTTGTGGCCTGTAGAAGAAGGCCTGACTAGCTCAGCTGTGAACATTTCCATTTCAAGAGGAGCTGATGTGACAGAGAATCACAGAATCATTAAGGCTGGAAAAGGACATTTAATGGTGTCATTAAGGCTGGAAAAGGACATTTAATAGCGTCAAGTCCAGCCATCAACCCAACTGCTCTCATGACCCCTAAACCATATCCCAAAGTACCATGACTACACATTTTTTGAACCCCTCCAGGGATTATGACTCCACCATCTCCCTGGGCCAACACCTCATTCTTCAAGTTCTTCAACCTTCCAGATGTTTTGGATGAAGCAGAGGTGGTCTCTGTTCACAAGTGTATATGGAGTCAGAGAAGATCTGTCCTCTTTAGGAGTTAGCAGTGTTTGTGCTGGGCTGCTAGGTCATGCTGGGATGCACCTTCTGCCACCAAAGTGATATGTGATGTGTCAGTGGTTCAGTAGGTGGGACAGGTAGGACACTTCCCTTCTTCTCCCCCTTGGAAGCTCTTCCTCAGTACCTGGTGGAAAATACAATGAGGATCTCTTGCTGTCTGCCTCACACTGAGTGGGGCCAAGGGAACGTTGGATTTGGAGTTGGAGGACGTGAGCAGCGTGGGTTTGTCCTCCACAGAGTTGTGTCATTCCTCAGAGAATGTTCATATCTCACTGCTTCTAAACTGCTGGTTATTTCACATGGAAAGTGCTGACTCCAGGAGCACTGAAACTCCCAGCCTGGGGCTGTCAGTTAATTACCTTCTGCAGTGGAAGCTGTGGTTTAGGTAGGACAGAGTTGATGGGAGAATTGTGGCTTTTCTTCAGCATGCTTGGAATGCCTTCTGCTTACTGCAGCTTATCTGGAAAGGGTCCTGGATCCCCCACGAGTCTTCCAAGACCCAGTTCAAGGGCAGGACTCTGCAAGGACTCTAGAGGAGCATGCCCTTGCAGATAACACCTTCTGCAGAAGGGTCTGTGCTGTGCCAGGCAGCCAAGCTCTGCTCCTGTTGTGTTCTCTTTATTTAGAGATTTCCATCCCTGGGGATCACAAAGAGCTTTTCTCACATCTCTTGTGTCCTAAGGGACTGCTCGGAGGAGTCACACCTTACAAACTGAAAATGCTTCAGGTAAAGGCAGGGCTGTGTCGTACTTGCTAGATTTCAGATTCTTTGACATTATCCCTCTCACAACTCCCTGACAGGAGCCTGGAGCCAGGGGGGGGTTGGGCTCTGCTCCCAAGGAACAAGGGACAGGACAAGAGGAAACGGCCTCAAGTTGCCCCAGGGGAGGTTTCAGTTGTCCCTGAGGAACAATTTCTTGCCCTGGAGGGTTGCCCAGGGCTGTGCCAGGCTGCCCAGGGCAGTGGTGGAGTCCCCACCCCTGGAGGGGTTCCCAAGCCGTGGAGATGTGGGGTGAGGGACACGGGGCAGTGGGGACCTGGCAGGGCTGGGGGAGCAGTTGGACTCCATGAGCTTAAAAGTTTCTTCCAACCAAAACTCCTGAAATTCTATGGTAAGTTGTTAATTAAAAACTTACATATGTTTGTATTTTTTTTACTTACCTGCCCAGCTTTTGGGCAGGAGGTGAAGGGACCAATGTGTAGCACACCTGCTGGAGCTCAGCTTTGGTCAGAATTCCTGGAGAAGGGTGTGTAGGGACTGGAGAAGGGTGTGTGGGGTCTGCTTTGGAGTTTGGGATTTTTTTTTTGGTAATCTTGCTTCCAGTGGAGCTCTTGCTGTTGCTGCTTGTGTTTGTTGAGGGCATCAGCTGGGATGAAGTAGCTGAGTTGTGTTGCCAGGCAGATGTTTGTCCCCAGCTGAGCTTGTGAGGTGCCTGCTGCTGACAGTGAGACGTGCCAGCCTTGAAGCCCGTGTCAGATGGCTGTCAGCAACCAACACAGCCCTGGGAAGCTGCTCCCTGGGGACTGGGGCAGGTAGCAACTGAAAGCAGATGTTCCTCTGAAACACTGTTGTATCAGAGGAACATCAGACAGCCTGTCTGGGCTGTCAGTGGAGTGCCAACATGCTTCTGGAGCTGTACATACCTGTGCAGCCCAAATCCAGACCCCTCCCCACTGAAAGCTTCAGGCTTTGTGCTTAAGTTTAGCTGGAGGGAGATGAAGAGATTTAGTATCTACCATGTTCTAGCACAGAACAGCTGCTTCTCTCTGATCTGGACTGTTAAAGAGATTTAGGAGTGAGAGGAAGAGGTGAATAAAGTCATGGTGGTGACCTTGGGTAGTCTGACTTCTCTGCGTCCATATATTCTGAAGGACAAATACACTTCAGTGTTTTCTTGGCTCTTGGAAAACATCCCTGAGAAGGTTTAGTTTATGTACAAAACATATGTGCACTTCATCCAATTCTTGGTGTCATGGCTGCTGAGCTACCTGCTGTGCTGGGAACAAAGCTCTGCCCACATCAGTGTCTCCTCCCAGCAGAGAAGTCCCTTTGTGTGCCTCTGGCTGCCCAAGAACAGGAGCAGTCACAGCAGTGGAAGCTTTTGCCTGTGGGGTGTCTGAGCCAGGCACTGCCCGTGCTCCTCACCTGAGAATCTTTCTTTGGAAGTTCTTTTTAATGTGATGCTTCACTGTGATTTATCAGGATTTTCCCTCCTGATTTTGGGACCTGCTCCCATCCCTCTTGTTTCAATGCTCTCTTGCTGACTGATCCTTACCTGGGTCTGTTGCAGTGATCTTCCAAGTCTTTGATTTGCACCACTTGGTTTCTGGAGACAGTCTTGGAGGGGCACTGGGAAGCAGTGAGGCTGACTTGGTGCTGGTCTGCAGTGGCCATTTGCCAGAAAATCATGCAGCCTTGCAAAAAGTGCCTGTCTGTGGCAAGCAGCTGAAAGGGAGAACCTTCACCTGCTCAGGGTGATCTCCTGTGAGGGGGGATTTGCCTGGGAGCACCGGGCAGCGTGTCCTCGCCGTGGCTCGAGGATGTCTGTCTGCAGCTTACCCTGTGTTCCTCCCTGCTTTTTCTCCAGGGATCTCATTCTCCCTTCTGCTTCTGTTTCCTCCAGAGAGATATTTCCATACTTGGTTGTAGTGATTGGCCTGGAGAACGTGTTGGTCCTCACCAAGTCCGTTGTCTCTACGCCCGTGGACCTGGAGGTGAAGCTGCGCATTGCCCAAGGTACACAGCCTGCTCTGGGAGACTGAGGAGAACACCAGGGTCACCCGAGGGCTGGGAGAGGGGCAGTGCTCTTAGTTCTGTGTGCTGAATGTGAATTTTAGTCTTTTGGCACTGGTGGTGTTCATTCCAAGAACTCATGTAACTGTTGTTGTGAGCACTGCTGTTTAGGGTGGTCAGCCATCACCTCTCCTCTGAGGACAGGCTGAGAAGAGAAGGCTCCAGGGACACCTTACTGCAGCCCTTCAGCACTTCAAGGGGGTCTACAGGAAAGCTGGGGAGGGACTTTTTACAAGGGCTTGTCGTGGTAGGATGTGGGGTAGTGGCTTCAAACTGGGAGAAGGGAGATTTAGATTAGAAATTAGGAAGCATGTCTTCACTCTGAGGGTGGTGGTAGACCTTACTGCAGCCTTTCAGTACTTAAGGGGGTCTACAGGGAAAGCTGGGGAGGGACTTTTTACAAGGGCTTGTAGTGATAGGATGTGGGGTAGTGGCTTCAAACTGGGAGAGGGGAGATTTAGATTAGAAATTAGGAAGTTCTTCACTCTGAGGGTGGTGAGACCCTGGCACAGGTTGCCCAGGGAGGCTGTGAATGACTGATCCCTGCAAGTGTTCAAGACCAGGACAGAGCTCTGAGCAACTTAGTCTAATGGGAAGTGTCCCTGCCCATGGCAGGGGGTTGGAACTGGATGATCTCTACAGATGCTTCGAGCCCAAACCCTTCTGTGTTTCTGTGTCCTACTGAAGCATTGGCTAAACAAGTTTTGAAAAGTGTTAGTAAGGCAGAGTTATATCTCCTGGTGTAGATACTCAGCACCTTGTCCTCTCCTGTCCTGAATGCTGTGCATGCAGTCCACAGGTCATGTGAAGTTCTGCTGAGTCTGTGAATAAATTATCATTTGCTTTATTATCGATACTCTGTACCTGTGTAAGGGCCTGGGTGTGCTCAAACCAGGGATAAATGCAGTTTGAAAACTTTAAAGATGTTTCTAAACATCAAAGAAGAGAAGATTCTAGAGTGATGCCTAGAAAACTCTACCTAGTTTAGAGCTGCAAGAGGTTATTGTCCTGGACTGAAAGCTCAGTGATCCACTAGGCCTCCAAAGCCCTGTGGTACCCTGTGCAGCACCCTCCAGCTGCTGAACTCTGGGCACTGTGCTGGGCTGAGAGTCAGCACAGAATCATAAAGGCTGGAAAAGAGCTCTAAGAGCATCAAAGAGCAACCATCAACCCAACACTCCCATGGCTACTAAACCATGGCCCCATGTGCCACATCCACATGTTTTCTGAAGCCCCCCAGGGCTGGGGACTCCAGCACCTCCCTGGGCAGCCTGGGCCAATGTCTCACCACTCTGCCAGGAGAGAAATTCTGCCTCATGTCCAATCAAACCTCCCCTGGGGCAGCTTCAGCCCATTGCCTCTCATCCTATTGCTGGTTCCTTGGGAGCAGAGCCCGACCCCCCCCTGGCTCCAGGCTCCTGTCAGGAGCTGTGCAGAGCCAGAAGGTCTCCCCTGAGCCTCCTTTGCTCCAGGCTCAGCACCCCCACGGCCCTCACAAGCCATGTTCCCCAGAACCCTCCCCAGCTTTGTTGCCCTTCTCTGCACCAGCTCCAGCCCCTCAAGGTTTTTCTTCTTCTGGGGCACCCAAACCTCACCCCAGGACTCGAGCTGTGGCCTCCCCAGTGCCCAGTCCATGGGGACCCATCACTTCCCTGCCCCTGCTGGCCACACCAGTGCTGCTCCAAGCCAGGATGCTGGTGGCCACCTTGGCCACCTGGGCACATGCTGCCTCATCTCCCGACGGCTGTGTTTTTTGGCCCCCGGGCCCCACACTGGCTCATCCCCAACCAGCTGCCCCCCAGGACCTTCCCCTGGGGCAGTTTCCAGCCTCTCTGCCCCAGCCTGGAGCCTTGCAGGGTTTTTTTGGGACCCAAGGGGCTCTGAGCTCCTTTATATAATGATAATCCTACTAATGAAGATGTTGGGATTTTACAGTCCAATCTTGTTGACTTAAATATTCAAAACAGGACAGGTAAATCTTAGTCTGAAAATGCCTTTTTTTCCTGTTTATTTTTAAATTAATTTCAAGTTTAGAGAAGGGAAATCCAGTTCCTTTTTGCTGTGCTCATCTCTGTCATGGAATAATCCCCTTTCTCCTGTCTCTGCACATTCCTTCTCCAGGCCTGAGCAACGAGAGCTGGTCCATCATGAAGAACATGGCCACAGAGCTGGGCATCATCCTGATTGGGTACTTCACCCTCGTCCCAGCCATCCAGGTCAGTGTGGCCCTCAGCCCAGGCTGGCAGGGCACAGCCTGGCAGGCACTGCAGGAGTGCAAGGGGCAGTGTCCTGGTGAGGAGTGTTGGTGGGAAATATGTACTTCTCTACACTGGGGATCCCTCCAGCAGCTGCCCCTGAATCCCTGGTCCACCCAGTCTGGGATCCTTCCCATAGCTGGGCTCACACATTCAGTTCAGCCAGTAGTTGGCCCAGTATCCTTGCCTTAAAACACACAGAATCCCAGGATCCCAGCGTGGTGGGGCTGGAAGGGACCTCTGGGGATCATCTCATCCCACCCCTGCTCCAGCAGCTCACCCCCAGCAGGGTGCCCAGGGTCACAGCCAGGAGGGTTTGGGATCTCTCCAGAGCAGGAGACTCCACAGCCTCTCTGGGCAGCTGCTCCAGGCTCTGCACCCTCACCCCAAACAAGTTTCTCCTCCTGCTCAGGTGGCACCTCCTGGGTTCCAGTTTGGGCCCCTTGTCCTGTCCCTGGGCACCACTGAGCAGAGTCTGGCCCCAGCCTCTTGCCCCCCGGGGGCCCTTTAGCTCTTGCTCAGCACTGCTCAGATCCCCTCTGGGTTGTGTTTGTCCTTGCTTTAACATCAAGGACTCACCAGCAGAGATGCAGATTAAAGCCTATTACAATCTAAGAAGATTAAACATTTAGGTTCAGTGTTGCAGGCTGAGCTGGGCAGTTCCTGAACCTCTCTCCCTATCCCAGAGCACAGCAAGGGAAGAGCTGCAGAAGAATTCCCCAGGCTCCAGCCACCTGTTATGGCTGGATTGTTTTGATTTGAAGCTGACTGCAGAGGTTGCTCAGCTCTAGCTCTGGCACCATCCATCCTTTGGGCCTGGATTGGGCTCATTTGCACGGGGTGTATTTGCACCTCTCAGTGACTCTGTGATTCTTTTGGCCTTGTTTTGGGGCTGCTCTGCTCAAAGGCCAGCACAGGGCCAAAGCCCCAGCTGGGTGGGGGGGCTGCTGGGGCTATTTTGTGTTGCCTTCTGCTGCAGAGGAGCTGGTGAGCAGCTCAGGAGGGTGAGCCCAGGGACAGAGCTGGGTGACAGCAGCAGCAGGGCACAGGGAACAGAGGCAGTGTGCCCCCCACCCCTGGCCCCTGCAGCACTGGGACATGCCTGGTGCTCTCCTCAGGGCCTTCCTCTCTGCCCTCAAGTGGCACCAGGGAAGGTTTCGTTTGGATATTGGGAAGAATTTCTTCACTGAGAGTGGTCTGGCAGGGACCTTGGCCCCAGGCTGTCGGGGGCAGTGGGACAGTGCTGGGGGCCTCCAGGTGCTGGCTGCTGCAGGGCATGGCAGGGGATGGAGGCAGTTCTTTGCTGAAGGCTCTCACCTGCCCCAAAGGCTGTCCTTTATCTTCTCATTTTTCTCAGTTCCCCCTTGGCAGTGCAGCACTTTTAGCAGAAGGAAGTTTCCTATCTTTTCCTTGTCCTAAAAGAGAGTTTGGCTTCAGCTGAGAGTTGTGCATCCACTTTAAACCCCTTGTCATTGCAAGCAGTGATGAAATCCTCTTCCCTTGCATTGCAGGTGGGTAGAGACCCCTGTTCTGCTGGCACAGCATCACTGTTGATGGTCCTGAGGTGCTGCAGGGATCCATGCTGAGCACTCATCCTCTGTTTTTCAGAGAATCATTTTGGTTGGAAGAGATCTGTAAGATCATGGAGTCCAACCCTCCCCCAGCCCTGCCAGGTCCCCACTGCCCCATGTCCCTCACCCCACATCTCCACAGCTTGGGAACCCCTCCAGGGGTGGGGACTCCACCACTGCCCTGGGCAGCCTGGCACAGCCCTGGGCAACCCTCCAGGGCAAGAAATTGTTCCTCAGGGACAACTGAAACCTCCCCTGGGGCAACTTGAGGCTGTTCCTGACCCCCCCCTGGCTCCAGGCTCCTGTCAGGCTAAACCAGACTGTGTCCCTCACTTGCAGAACAGAGCTGGCAAACCCCTGCTGCCATTCACTGCCTGCTGGCGTGGTGACAGACTCACTACCTGCAGACCAAGCCAGGACACATCAGCCTAAGGGGAAGGAGAGGGGCTGTAGAGATTCATTTCTTCTGTCCCCCTCTTTCCTGTGTCTGCCCCAGCTGCTTGCATGGGGCTGGAGGCCAATATCTGCACAGTGAGATGAGGAGATAGCATGAGAGGCCACCCAAAACCTCTAACAAACCTTGAAGCCTCCTCATCCTGTCCAAACTGTTCTCTGAGCTTGTTATTTAGAAATCATTCCAAATGCAATGAGATAACCTCCTGATCAGCTGCCCTTCTGCCAACCTCCCAGCAACAGCAGTGCACAGAAGCACATTCTGATCTCTTTTTTTTCTCTTTAGCCCCTTCCCCAACATCTTTAATCTGTTCAAGGTCAGGTTGGAGCAACCTGCCCTAGTGGGAGGTGTCCTTGCCCATGGCAAGGGGGTTGGAACCAGCTGAGCTTTAAGGTCCCTTCCAGCCCAAAGCATTGTAGGATTGTATGATTGGTCTTACAGGAGGTTTTGTGAGCAGAGGGATGAAAACATAACACAAGTTCCTCTCTCAAGGAGAAAAGCAGAAGGAAAGCAACATCCATCTGGATTTCACCCAGGCTGCAGCAAACCCAGGCTCCACAAGCAGCAGGCTCTGCACAGAGGGATGTGAATTTAATTCTGTTAATGCTTCCACCTACTCCACTCAGGATTAGAGGGATCTGCTGGCCCTGGAAATAGAAAATCTTCTTACACTTGGATGCTGCCACCCTATGGCAAAACCCAAAGTGATTTCTGTGGGTGCAGGGTCAGGCTGTCAGTGTGTGAATTCAGTACAAGGTAGTGTGGAAGAGAGGAAAACTCAACAGCTCCCTGACAAGAGGCTGCAGCCAGGTGGAGGTTTCTTCTCTCAAGCAACAGGACAAGAGGAAATAGCCTCACGTTCTGGCAGGAGAGGCTTAGGTTGGACACAAGGAATAATTTCTTACCTGAAAAGGTTGTCCAGGGCTGTGCCAGGCTGCCCAGGGCAGTGGTGGAGTCCCCACCCCTGGAGGGGTTCCCAAGCTGTGGAGATGTGGGGTGAGGGACACGGGGCAGTGGGGACCTGGCAGGGCTGGGGAATCTGTTGAACTCCATGATCTTACAGATCTCTTCCAACCATAATGATTCTGCTCCTGCTTAAGTTCATGTTTCTTGATCTCTGTATTTTTTGGATCCTTTTTGGGTCCTGACAGAAATTTGTACCTCCAAGGGAGACAAAGCACCTCCCAAAACCACTTTAATTCTGGGAAGTTTTGAATGGAGTAGAATAACATCTGCCCATCAAACATACATGAGCCAAAAGTGGGATTTAAGTAGTAATGATTTACCTGGGGCCCTGGAGAAACAAATTCACAGATCTCAGTAACTTCAGGTCTCTCTCAACTATTACAAAGCATCACTAACAGGATTTGTCACCAGAACAGACAGAGGCCTGCACCTGGGGCAGGAGTTTCCCGAGTTGCCCTGGTTCCAAATTTGGGATATTTACCAGCTGATCAGTGTGTCCTCTCTGCAGGAGTTCTGCCTCTTTGCTGTGGTGGGCCTGGTGTCTGACTTCTTCCTGCAGATGTTCTTCTTCACCACCGTGCTGTCCATCGACATTCGCCGCATGGAGGTGAGGGAGGGCTGAGAACAGGGGGTGTTGCTCTGGGCTCTCCTGCTCTGAAGCTGGGGGAGTGTTGAAGGAAGTAGCACACTGTGAAATTTTCACTCTCTAAACAGAAATAAGTAGAAAGTGTGAAAGTTCTGGGGCAGTACTTGGTTGGTTACACTCCCACAGGGACTGGGGCAAGACGCTTGAGGGAGCAGGGCACCCTCAGGCACATAAACGTGCAGGTTTGGGCAGCCCAGGAGGCAGATTGAATCCTGGGCTGCATCCAAAGCAGCGTGGGCAGCAGATGGAGAGAGGTGACCCTGCCCCTCTGCTCTGCCTGCCCCTCTGCTCTGCCCTGTGAGACCTCCCCTGGAGTCTGTGTCCAGCTCTGCAGCCCCCAGCACAAGAAGGACGTGGAGCTGTTGGAGCAAGTCCAGAGAGTCACAAAAATTATTAGAGGGCTGGAGCAGCTCTGCTGTGAGGACAGGCGGAGGGAGTTGGGGCTGTTCAGTCTGGAGAAGAGGAAGCTCCAGGGGGACCTTAGAGCAACCTTCCAGTACCTGAGAGGGGCCTCCAGGAAAGCAGGGGAGGGGTTTGTGGTGACAGGGTGAGGGGTAATGGCTT